AGCCCACCCTGCTGGGGATGAGCCCTGTGGTGTGTCACCACCTTGAGCAATCGCCAGCAGCATCCTGTGTTTGTGGTGGATGAGTGAGGATTGGGGTTTATAGAGACTTCTCCCTCTCAGCAGGGTAAAGAACACCACAGGTGGTTTATGATGTTGTCACAAGACACTGGGGCTGGGAAGGAAATTTCCACTTGCCTGTCCCTGTTGCTGGCCACACCACAGACAAGGGTCAGGCTGGAGAATCCCAGTCCAGGCATCTCTACATGTGCCTCCATCAATCCATTTTCCCTCCTCAGACCTTGTTTCCTACAGAGAAATACTCTGGTTCTAGAAATCACTGGGATGTGGAGAGTGAGTGCTAGGATTGGCTTTGGGGCTCCTGGGAATCCTGTGCATGGACCTCTGGAACAGGGAATACCTGATCCAATTCAATCAGCTCACAGAGCACTGTCACCTAGAGCCAGTTTCCAACAGGTGCATAGAACCTACCTGTCACCACAGCTCCCAGCACGACCAGTTGAGCATTCCATCAGGAGGGATCTTAACTGGGGCAGAAGGAATCCAGATTTCATCTGTTTGGTGGGTATTTATTAGAGACATTAACGTAACACATCAAGATTTCAGCTGGTGCCTCTGAGCAGCAGCTCTCACTGCCACATGGCTCAGCAGTGCTGGAAGGTCACAACCCAAAAGCAAGGATTAACTCTGTGTCCTTGGCTTTTAAACATTTACCATTCTTCAGGGAGTGGGCATGTTTGCCTGAGCCTTCCAGAGGAAATGCTCCACGTTCAGGCAACAAAGGAATTAATTATTACTGAGCACAGGCCTGAAACAGGACAGAACAAAGGAGCAACCTTGGGGGAACGGGTGTACCTGTCAGAGGGAGCTCCAGCCATGCAGTTCCACCAGAGCTGCCCAGGCATCCTATGTCTGCCACAGAGGACTGAGCTAAAATCCCCAGAGGAAAACAGCTTGGGAAATTTCAGAGCAAAACACTGACTGATTTGTTTTGGAAGATTTGGGAGAGGGAAGGTTTTTTTGCACAGCCACAGCTCACCCAACCACTCGGGTGGGATGAAGCAAGGAGAAACAGAACAAAACAGAGAGGGTGGATAAATAAGGTATACTGACTTTTGTGCCCAGGTAGAAGGATAGGGGAAATGTTCTCTGAGGCAGTTTCATTCCTCTCCTCCTGGAGCCAAGGGAACATTGCTCTTCCCTAACCACCACCTCGGTGTGAGGACAGCTCCATGGGAAACCAGCACTCCCTGTACACCGTCTCAGCTAACCTCAAAACCAGGACAAACCCAAACCAATCAAACAAGGATATTTTCAGCACCCACCAGCTGTGGCTCCTGAAGTGCTTGAGTGCATAAATCCTACTGGAGTCTCCTGATGGATCAGTGAGGCAGAGTGAACACTTGGCTTCTACCGTGCCCTCACAGCACCACAGCAAGGGCCGAACCAGCCCCGTGGGAATCACCTGAAGTTTCCAGCTGTGCCACACTGGGAAGTGCCAGAGGAGGGTGCAAGGAGAAGGGACACGGTCACAAGTCACACTGCTGGCAAGGCAACGGTGGGCAGAGCAAGGGAACAGCATCACCTCAGCACACTGGGGCTGCCTGGACTCTCCCAGGGAAGCAAAAGTTCACAGCAGTGAGATACATGATCTATATTTATCAACAGGGACTGGCAGAGGTGGAGTTGATTTCTTTTATGTTAACTCTGAACTGTGTCTCTGACAACTCCTGAGCAGAACATGTTTTCCAGAACATCTCATAAATGACTGCTACAGACCCATTTTAAGCTACAAGGCCAGGCTGGATGGGCTAGTGGAAGGTGTCCCATGGCAGTGGATTGGGACTGGATGGACTTTAAGGTCCTTCCAACCCAAATCATTCTGTGATTCTACACTTCAACCCAACCATCCTCCTGTGTCCTCCAGAGCAGAGGCTGCCCCAGCACATGTGTTTGGAGATGCAAAGACAACAGTTCTGCTCTGAGCAGCCTTTGCCCCTCAAGGAGAGATGGAATAGTTGGCACCAAGGTTTACTCAATGAGCTCCACAGAAGCTGTGCCCATGGGAAAAGGCGTGGGGATGAGAACAGAGAAATCTGTTCCTATTAGCAGACACTTATTTTTGGCCTTGTTTGGGCTTGCACCGATTTGTTAAATAAGTGACAACAGCAACTGTGTCAATTGGTACAGGAAATGGTACCAAACGAGCCACAGCTTCTAACAGTCCTTTTTAGGAATCACAGACATCATTTCCCACATCCTTCTACCTGGCCACAAAAGTCAGAATCGCCTATTTTATCCACCCCCAGTGTTTCTTGCTGTTTCTCCTTACTTCATCCTGCAGATCTTCCACCTTTCATTTGCTTTTCCATGCAAACCACAGCACCCACACCATGGTTTGTATAGGAAAGTAGGTTTGGGGATGGGAACTAGATGTTTCTTAGGGTCCTTTCCAAACCAAACCATTCTGGGATTCTAAACTCTAACTACCCAAACTCCAAAAAGCTCTTAAAGAACATGCTGAAGTGCCATTAACATTTAAGCATAGAATCCCAGACTGGTTTAGGTTGGAAGGGACATTAGAGACCACCTTGTTCCACCCCCTGCCATGGGCAGGGACACCTCCCACCAGCCCAGGTTGCTCCAAGTCCCATCCAAGCTGGCCTGGAACCCTCTCAGGGATGGAGGAGCCACAGCTGCTCTGGGCAACCTGTGCCAGTGCCTCAGCACCTCACAGGGAGGAATTCCTTCCCATCTATCCCTGCCCTCTGGCAGTAGGAATCCATTCCCTGTGTCCTGTCCCTCCATGATCTGGTCATGCCCAAGTGCTCTCTGTACAGTGCTGGTACATTTTAAAGGCCACATTTCCAAGTGGATATCTCTAAAAAAGTTCCCACCAATAATTTTGGTGCTGCACAAGGTGAAGCTGCAAGGAAACACCCTGGCAGAGGGTCAGCAGGGTCAGCTCTTCCAAAGAGCCATAAAGAAGCAAACCAACTCCTTTGACACTGCCTTATCTCTCCTTATTTACTTTGGAGACAGATAGTGCCCAGGATTACACAACTGGGGCTGGATGAGAACTTGCAGAATGGTTTGCAGCTCGCAGCTGAGCCCAGGTGAGCTGACCTCTGCCCCCACACAGAGCCAGCATTGGCTAAGAGTTCTCCTTCCAGTCGCTACCGTAAAGCTCCAGAGCAGATGGAAATTTCCAAGGATTCTCAACACAGAGTCACTGTAGCTGCTGGAAAACAGGGACGGATTTGGGTCAGTCCTGCATGCACAGACTTGTTTTGGAGGAGGGAAAATAACCAGTGGGATGAAGCCACACTTAGACCTCAGTTCTGGTATTTAACATTCTTAATTCTGGTATTTAGCATCAAAACCCACCAAGCTCTCCCAGAAGGGAGGAAGCTCCTGGTTCCTGCAATGGCCTGACCCCTGGGTTCCTGTGGCTATCATGGCAGCACAACCACAACAGAGCATCTTCATCCCAAATAACCACATTTCCCTGCTCCCCAGCAGCACAGAGACCTGAAAAATCATGTCAGCTTGAAATGAGGGGCAGGTAACAAGACAAAGAGGGTGAAACACTGTGCACTGTGAGCCAACAGCTGCTTTTCATCCAGCTCCTGGAGCTGGGCAATTCCTGTAAGGATCTAAATAATTAAATTTCCTGCAAGGGAACTTCTTTTATCCATTTTTTAAGAGAAGCAGGCAATGCTCAGGCCTAGGGAACGTGGATGGAACACAGATGCAGCAAACTG